AAATCAAAGACATAAAAATGAAAATCCACTCTTTGATATTATTACTAGTTATTAGTATAGTTTATGTGGATAGCCAATATGATCACATGCAATATGTATTGCAATGGCAGGCTACTTTTTGCAGAATTGAAACTTGAATAAGTGTTCCACAACATGAATTTACAATACATGGCCTCTGGCACACGAAAGCTATACGGGCATAGAGGGCATGTATAGTAAATGCATGTCGTGGAACATGACTTATACAATTTCAATTCTATAAAATGTAGTCGGCCACTGCACTACATATTACATGTGACATTGACTCTCCACATAAACTATACTAATACTTAGTAAAAATATCAAATAGCGAGTTCTCATTTTTATGTCTTTGATTTGACACATGTAATCTAACTTTGAGAAAAGCTGGTGGGTATAAAACTTGTTGAACTCATAGTCTTATATAGGCTTATATTTGATTTCATGCCAAACTTATGAATGGAGTAGGTATACCAATATAGGTTTCATGCCAAACTTATGGGTGGAATAGGTAAGTCATGACATACAAAGCAATTTCACTTTTTGATCTGGGAAAAATATATTAAAAAAACATCAACTTATAAAGTTTCCTTTTGGTATTTAACATGCAATTATTGTGATTTATAATATATTTTATGTATTATACATAATATATATTTCTTCCTTTACCACAGTTTATGTTGTATAAATGAAATTTTGAAAGTTAACGAAATATTTTTATATGTTTTCAAATATTTTAAGCTATTAATTATAATGATTTATAATCACATTCCACTCTTCTACACCGTTCGGAGCGTGTTTGACATGGCTGTTGGGAGGCAATAAATATTTATTTTGAGAAAAGAATATTTTTATTGAAAAATTACGTGTTTGACAAATCAGTAAAAATGCTTCTAAATAAAAGCAGGAGATGCAGAAACACTAAATTATTTTTCTCAAGACCAAAATATGCCTTTCATATATACATAAATACCAATATATCTCTTATTAATTAATTAACATATCTCATAAGTTTGGTTAAATTTCATTTAAGAATTTTATTTTTTATTTTTATATGACAAATTTTATATTTTATATAATTATTCTATATTTTACATATTATTTTATGTATAATTTTACAGAATTAGAAAAAAGATAATAATGATATTTTTGTAAGGTTAGAAAAAAGAGAAAAAAATAACAATTAAAGATCTCTAACCCTAAAAAAAAAGTATACAATATTTATTGAAAATTTAAATATGTATATTTTAATTTAATAAAAATAAAATTTTAATCAACTTTTTTATAATAGATATTTAAAATAGTTTCTCTCTATAAAATAATCTTAATATTAAAGTACATTAATAGTTGTCCTTTTTCATAATTTGACTCTCAAAAGCATTTTTTTAAAAAGATCAGTTAAACACAATTTGCTTATGAAAAATATTTTTCAAAGATATTATAAGGAATATTGTTTCGTATTTTTTGATTGTGTATTACTATTTATTGGTTCATTTGTTTGTATATATCTTGCTATTTTAATTTATTGTCTTTATTCTTTTATAATCTTGTGCTGCATATTTTTCTTTTGAGCCGAGAATCTATCAGAAATAACTTCTCTACGTCACAAAATAGGATAAGATCTACGTACCCCCAATCTTCAATTGTATTACACTGGGTATGTTGGTATTGTTATTTATCCTCTTCTCTAGCGCATGACCCACCATATACAAAAGACGATTATGCAGTGTTTCTCCAAGTAGAAGATTTTCATCTATGAATGTGACATCTCGATATTATCTTGAGCAATCTTCACACAAAATCAACTTGATAAAAATTATACTCCTTCAGAGTCACAAAACATCGTGGTTTTTGATGGTGGTGCACCACCACTTTTGCCTCAATTAATTTTTGAAGTTATTGTTGGGCTTTTAACATAGTCGAGTCCAGAATATTTTGTATATGTATAATCCATCTATAGTATATGCATAAGCATGTATAATCTATGTTATTTTAGTAAAAATCCTTTTTTGATAAAAATAAATAAAATAAAATTATACTTATATTAGAGAGTGGGGAGTACATACTTTTGAGTAGTGACATAAATTTGACAACATATACTAGTATAGTAATATAAATTGGGTATGAAAATGGCAAAGTATACGCAGTCCTTATCTCTACCTTGACAAATAGAAAGGTCGTTTCCAGTAGACCCTCAGTAGCATAAAAGCATAAAAAATAACATTTTCCCATAAATAATTTTGAAACTTGGACGACCAAGCACAAACTGCTACTCTATTATTAGCAAAAGTGTTGTTCAAATTGATTTGTCAAACATTCACAAGACTTGAAAAAACAAAATTTCAACAACACAACAGATATCAGTATAAAAGAAATTGAATTTCATGTTTGCTTCAGAATCAACATTTCTATGAGAAGAAATAGTACATGAAGTGTAAAATTGCTATGACAATACAATATATACATTAAAAAATTAGACAAAAGTGACACCTTGTAAAAAATCTTATGAAGAACTTGAATACTGACCTTTTCTTTTTTTGGAAACAACATCTATAACATTCATCTTTCTAAGTTGCATGTAAAGACATACTAAAAGATGAAAGATTAAAATAACATAAACACATTTAATTCAAAAAGTTTTTCTTTTACATGGGGAAGGCGTAAACTTCGAGACACAGCCGCCGTGCGTTTTAAAAGACGTTGACAGTCGTGCGTCTTGTAAGGCACATAGAAGTTTGCGCCTTGCTCTTTTCCCCCTAATTTACAGTTTGTTAGACCGTCTAAATATTGCCTTTTTGGTTCTCAACTCAATTTTGTTGTCCTTTTGGAAATTTTGGCCAATCTTCTTGCCCTTTTGACTCCGAACTTTGGAAATATTAATGGATACATGTCAGACTATTCAAAAATAGTGTATTTTCAGAAAATTCAATATGAATGTGACAACATTTTTAAATAGTGTATTTTCAAAGAATTCAATATAAATATTGCAATATTTTCTAGAGTCCGAGCAACATAGAATACGACAAAGATTTATGGAAGGGTACTGTCTATCTTCTGTTTTCTTTGGTGATTTTATTTTTTTGATCTTAACACTTTTTTCTTATAATTTTTACTTAATAGACTTTTTGACAGCTTTCAAATTTGCGCTTCGCAGGAAAATATTTTATTTATAAACTTAAAGGTTCTTGAATCTTACTTCAAGTTCTATCTATTAGGTACATTTTTGTATGTTTATGTATTTTTTGTATATTGAAAATAACTAACAACATCCTATTTATAATAGTAAGCATCCAAATTAAATTAAGACTACAAAATATATATCATATATGAATTAGGACAAATAAATTCTAACTAGACATTAATTAAATAAATATCAAAATAACAAATCCTAAACAACTTAGGATTCCTACTTCAACTTTGAATTAATATTCCAACAAAGTGTTTTTTTTCCTTTTATCATAACTATTTTTTTTTTCAAAAATGAAGTAAAAATCAAGAGTAACAATTTATGTTTGACTAATTAATTTAAAATATTTTGTCAATATTAGAATATTGATTTGTATCATGTAACAAACACAATAAACTAAACCTCATGCCATCGCTTTATCATAATCATTAACTCCGATATCAATTGCTAAGATAATACAATTCAAAGATACGCTTAATCGCTTGATGTGATATTATCCGTTTTAAGCCTATGCTGACATAAATTGCAATGGAGACAAATCCTTTGGAGTTGTCAGTTGCACGTGAGGTTAATATAAATATTCTATGTTGTACCTCCATATTCATATTATTATATTCATGTGCACGTGTGCACTTTCTCCTTTTTTTTTTGTCTTGGAAAAAACAGACTGTCATTGCTACATTGGGCTCATATGCCAAGATAAAATTAAAAAATTGATCTTTAATAAATGTTGATTCTTGGAGTTTACTATGTGGAGTGGAGGGATGAATTAGTGACTACATAAAATGATCATCATCAAAGGATATAATAAGTTGGATAGGATTGCTTTTTCCTTAACTGGAGGTCTCGAGTTCAAGTTTTGAGTATGAAAAAATCTTTGATAAGGAGCATCAGTATAAATCTAAATTAGTCAGACTTCAATACGAATACTGGACAAGAAAAGTAAGTGCAGGCGGAGTGAAAATTTAAACTTCATAGGTTATAAATTCTAGATAATGATATCATCTCATTAATATAAATATAAGATTTGAATTAAAACTATGAGTTTGACCGAACTCGTACATTGATTTCTAGCACCATTCCTAATCCAGTTTAGTGGTAGAGTCAGAATTTTCAAGAGAATTAAGAAAATAGAAAAAATATATGGAACATCAAACTATAGCCTAGGATGCTCCTAATGTTTTCTATTATTGGGAAACTAACCTCACTTAACAGCAAAGCTTTCCTTTTTTAAAATTGTTATCTTAAGTATTATTTTAATTTTTGTGCCATAAAAAGAAAAAGAAAAACCAACCAAAGAATTGAATGACAGAAGTAAACAGATTCCTCAACCTATGCAGCAATCTTGAAGACATATAGTTCTTAATTTTGTTTTAGTAAAAGTATTGAGTGTTTGTTGTACACAAGTTATTTTTATTACACCTTCCGTCTCAATTTGATTGTTTGATTTCGACAGTACGAAATTTTAAAAATAAAAAAAACTTTTAAAGTTTGTAGTCTTAAACTAAAGATGTGTAGAATGTACCAAATGCACTTTAATTTTGAGGTTGAAAAAACCCTGCAAAAAATGCAGAGAGAATACCTACAATAGAGTCGATGTGGTTCGATCCGTCTCCAGACTCCACTTATATAGGGAGAGCTTAGTGCTTCCCTTCAAAACATAAAGAAGTAAACACACGAAAAAATCAAGAGATAGAGATACAATATCTACTATATAAATATAGGGAGACTGTCTATAATAGACTCAATGTGCTTCGATCCTTCTCCAGACTCCACTTATAGGGAGAGACTAGTGTTGCCCTTCAAAATATAAAGAAGTAAATACATGAAGAAATCAACAAAGGGATTCAACATGTGCTGTATATATACAAACACAAAAGGTAATTTTGATCTTGAATATACATTATAATTTTTCGACGACGCCCCGGCCCTTAGCTCTGCCTCTGGCCAGCATAAAAATAATAAAACTAGTTTCTCTTGTGGATTTGTGGTGAAATATCACAAACAGGAATGTTGAAAAACAGCATGATGAATGCTTCTGCTACATGTTGCACTGTTGAGCAAGAACTGAAAGAAGAGAAAACTCTGAATGTCAATATTGCTGAGATTTCTGCAGAATTGCAAAGGGAGAAACAGAAAAACGCGAAGCTCATGAAGAGAATATCAGTTCTTGAATCTCATATACAAGGAAGACATAAAGATTTCAACTTCTCAAATGGAAATGTATAATTTCTCAACTCAACTTTTTATATACATGTAGCTGTTTTTCCTTCACTATTGGTAAGTGTGCCACACACTGGTTGAGGGAATGAGTTGTTGTCTCCTTATATGGTCTTGGAGACAGTTCTCATCTCACGAGCTAAGCTTTAGAGATTGAGTTAGGCACCTGAGGTCTATTTTCATCTGATTGAGCTAACTTGTGATTATCAAATATCTAGGAAGTTTCTTTTTTCGCGACGTTCCTTTGCTCTTCTTGAAGATTTAATGTTCAAACAGACAGTTACTTAAAAGATGCTATGAAATGATTGGTTGAACTTCAATAGCTAAGACCTCTGCAAGTTTTTCCTTAGGCAGTGAAGTAATGGCATCATATATTTTTTGGGGGGTGGGGGTGGAGCGAAAACTCTATCAACAACTGTAGAAAGGAATGTATCAAGTAGCTTGCTGGAAGTTATAAGCTATGTTACTCGAACTCTTCAAAAATGCCGACTGGTGTGTGTCCAGTCCTCCAAAAGTAGCGCATTTTGGACGATCTAACACATAGGTGACAACATTTTTGGAGAGTCTGAGGAACATAGGTTACTATTGTAAATAGAAGTTCAACATATGAGTTTCCCTCGGAGCATATGCAACAACTTGATTCACTTTCAAAGTCAAAGAAATTGCGGAAGCATTAGGCTGAGCATAGTAAAAAAAAAAACTGAAATTGAATAGAATCTGATAACATAACTAATCACTTGCTACTGTTTCAGAGTTTCAGCACTACTGCAATTATGTTATGTTGAGAAGTAAAAAATTTTCCTGTTATATTTATCTATGTATATATGCAACTTCAGAGATATTAAGCATATAATATAACAGTTCTATTAGTGAAAATCTTCTTGTAAATTTATGAACATTCATATGTACTTGCTTAATGCTGAGTACTAGCTGAATATGTCGTGTTTAATATATATCTTTATCACAGGCCAGTAGTCAAAGTATAGACGAAAGGCATTTCAGAAAGCTCAAGAGACAAAGAGTAGCACAATGTATCGACACTAATGAGGACAGAACACGAAAAATGGACTCAGGGGTGAAGGATCACACTGAAATCTTCCCGACGAAAGATGTTCATACAGAACATTGCCTAGTGAATTGGATGAGTATGGATGATACTCAGTTTCTGAATTTTGAAAGATCCAAAGACAGTAATTCAGCTGAAGAAAATGACCCTGATGATAGCAAAGATGAAGATGACCAAGAATCCGAGGACAGTGGCACTTATACTGACACTGTAGATACAGGAAATGTCAAGAGCTTGCAAATTGAGAAGGAGATCGCTGAACTGAAAGAAGATATCAGTGAAGCAAGTGATCCACCAGTCTTGGGAAGTTGTGATCATCATGCAGATCCAGCAGAAAAAAGTTCACCAACTGATATGGACGTTTGCAAGAACGCAAATAATGAAGAAACCTATATGCTCGAAGCCTACGAGGAGGTTTCAAAAGCCTGTCCTATTGATCATGGAATAAGAAGACCGGGAAGTGCATCGTCACATAAAAAGTCCCTAAAGATGGCATTCTGTCCCAAGGAAGTAAAGAAAATGCTAGGTTCAAAAGAACTTTCACTGGAAAATGCTCAATCTCATACTATGAGAAAAATCTTAGTTTTCACACCTCTTGGTATAAGGCACGGGAGTGAAGACATGTATGAACTAGACTTCAATCATTTCAGCATTTTACACAAGGGAGAACCATATATAGATTCAAAAAATCCAGGTGTATGCTACTAAACTTCAATTATATGTTGCTTCACTGTTTACTAATTCTAGACCGTATACACATATTATACACTGGATTATACATGGTTATACACATATTATACATGAATTATACATATTAGTTTAATTCTTCATTCAATGAAGCAACTGTTTATTGTAAGAACAGAAATCTGCCCATTGTAAAACTATTCATTTAGCAGAAGAAAAACTCGATTTTCTTGATGGCCATGCTCACTCCTATAATAGACTGATAGAAATCATTGAAAACTATTAATCAAGTTATTTTACTAAACATGAATGTCTAAAACTTTTGTTGTATCACTTTCTTATACCTACAAAGTGGTTCAAATTTCAATTGACTTGATATGTTCTGTACCAGGAGCATGTATTATACGATAACCTTGGATTTCGGAGGAAGATATTCTATCCCAACAGACACAACCCAACCTTGTGTCCTGTTAAAATACTTGAAGAGGAGAAGTTCATGCGTCCCTCGGATGCCACCTGCCCGTCATGCTTATTCCTATGCATCAAGTATGGAGGAAGGACAAGAAATCTTCCTCAAAATGAGTAAGACTGCATAACTATAGTATTTCTGTACATTTCGTTGCAATAATATTGACTTAATATTTCATGTACTGACCATGTAAGGAATTTTTTTGTGTAATATGGGTTCAGTTGACTTATAGGTAACTCTCCATATCGAATCTGATATGACAAACTAAAAATTGCAGTGATAGTGTAAACATTCTTAACATTGTAATGTATATAACTTGAACTGATCTAGTTAACATTACAACAAAATTGAGTTTTTAGTTGTCTAAATATATATCAAAATCTTGACTGAAGGCACAAACATGAAATTAATTAGGCATTTTTTCTCATAGATGAGATTTTATTAGTCTGTAAATGGATGCATTGTCATACCAGATATGTCCGGCAGCGAATGGGAAGAAACAAACTGAAATCTTTTGGTCCGGTGATATGTCGGATGGCAATGCTGATCCATATTCGCAGCGGAAGCTTCTTCTTTAAGGCCTTAGGAATTACACTTCTCTTCATGGCTGGCTTTCCTAATGACCTGGTTCAAAGGGAAACCAAATATAAGAACTTGGACCTCCTACAGAAGTATTACAGGTATTCTGCATAGCATGTCTGTCTTGTATAATTTCAAGTAGCCTATAGTGCATCGCGGAAAAAAGAGTATATACTCACTCCGTTTCATTTCGTTATGTTAGTTTGACTTGATATGACGTTTTAAAAAAGATTTTTGAATCTTGTGGTGTTAAGCTAAAGGTGTGTATAACATACCAAAAATACCCTTTGTATTTTGTAGTCTTGAACATGTCATGTACACTCCTATAAGAGAGGGTTGTTATGGTAAAATGGGAATGTTGGAAAGTTGGAATCAAAACATACAAAATATATAAAAACATTCTTTTTGAAAGAAAGACACATAAATCGGGACGGAGGGAGTACATTTTTACAAGCTATCAGATGCCTATAAATGATTTGGTATCACAAAACAACTCCGAATCGATCAAAAGAAGCAAATGTAAAGAAAGAGAAAACCTTTTCGAGCCTTGGGGAAATGTAAAGTTTGTCTCCATGTGACATCTAGGTCACATGTTCATCTGTAGAATCAGCCACTGATGCTTGCTTCAGTGAGATGCCACCATCACACCCCCTTGGGTACGGCCCTTCCTCGGACCCTTCATGAACGAGGGGTTCTTCGTGCACCTGGCATCCCTTTTACCTTGTTTGCGGATGTTCTGCTGGCAATTTTTTGATTTTGTTGGGCTCGAAAGATTCTTCTTATTGTCAAATCATCTCCATATTTGCAGGACAGATGAGGATGCAGAAAGGGAGGAGTTATTTCTATCACATTCTGAGACTGATGCTATTGTAAGATCTGCAGCTCATAGTCATTTTCTCTAAAATTTGTGGTAACTCAGCTGCAAAGTAAAACTCAGTTACATCAAGTTATGAATAATAATTCCTTCCTAAATGTTCTCAAGAATACTACTTCCGTTTCAATTTAAGTGTCTTACTTTCCGTTTTTGTCTGTTTAAAAAAGAACGCCTCATTCTATATTCAGTAACTTTTTTATTCCAACATTCTAAATGACATGTTTAAGACCACAAGATTCAAAGAACGTTTTGGCACATTACATACATTTTTAGTTTAAGATCACAAGATTCAAAAACCTGCTTTATTTTCTTAAACTCCGTGCCTAGTCAATCTAAAGACACTTAAATTGAAACGAAGGGAGTATAAGTAATTACTAGGAAAGATAATCATTGTTTGTGACTGTAAAGTTAATCATCTTGTGAAAACATCCCTTTAGTTTTGAGTTTATCTTTCACATCTTAGACTAATTAACACCTTTTTATGTCTTTTCTGATGCAATTGTTCACATTGTTCCAGAATAATAGTCCCAATTCAGAGCAGGGGAAAAAAGCATTGACAAAATCATCGAAAAGCAAGAGAGAAGCAATCTCTAAGAGCAAAACTTCAGAGAAAGCTACAACTATACATGCTGAACCTTCATGTTCTGCCCCACCTCCTGCACCATTTGGACTAATGGGCTACGCTTCATCTCCAAGTCAGATGATTATACCAATACCATCACGTCAAGCACCAGCAGATACGCGAAAACCTGTAATGGCTAATACCGCGCCCAATATTCACTACCATAACCAATGTGCATATCCTGTTTTCCCAATGTATCCACCAAATTCTGTCACGCCTTTTGTATATTGGCCTCAACCTAATGCGATCGCTCCATTCCCTTACCCCTCTTCTTATAGATATATTGCACCCGGAAGCTGCATTACAGTACATCCATATTCTTCTTACTATAATCCTTTGATCCCACAAACATTAGGGACTGATGAGAAGCAAAATGGAGCATTAGATGAGGCTAAAAGGGAGTCAAACAGTAGTTCAAGCAGTACAGATTCAAGAGAGAAGTAAACAGGACTTCTAGTTTTCTACTTCTATATTGAGAAATAAGATTAGGCATGTTGCTACTTGCAAGAACAGTTTTGGTAGCCCTGATGTAAGTAAATAACATTGTTGGGGGCATTAAAATTAGCTTACTGACTTGAATGATGATAATTATACGAATTCAGAAATTTTCTACTTGTTGGTACTTGCATAACAAGAGAATATTAGTAACATAGTTTCAAACATAACAGCAACAGCAGATATGCTCAGTGTTATCAAAGGCGAAAAGCGCAAAAAAACTCTAACCATTGGGGCTTTAAGTGCAAAACACAAATAACGCATGAACCTTTAATGAATAAAGGAACAAATGGAGAACATACAAATATGTATATATAGTCTAAGGCTAAGAATTATAATAAAAAATAACAAACATATAGACAGAAATTGGAAAAAAGACAGATAAAGTGAAATATCAATTGTTTAGTGTCACCTTTTCAATTGGTAAGGAAAAGTATGTCTTATAGCCTTGATGATGATATTGAAGTGCACGTGAAGAGAGGAGAAGTGCTCAACATGTTTTGCGCCTCACTTTAGGGCTTAAGTGCGGCTTTCATAGCACAGGATAGCTTGCCTTTGACCAAGGAGCAGACAGTCGTAAGTCATATGATATAGACTTGACATAAACACAGGTTAATGTGATTATAGTAGGAAGATGTAAAGCTACACATACCTGTAGTAATCATAACTATTACGCCATCACTTCACGAATAGTAGCATTATCAACTTGAAAATATATTGTTATTATTTCAGTGGTGATGCCTTCTACAAGTGAAATCTCCTTAGACCACTGAACCTCTCTGATGACAAGTTGATACTAAGAAAATCACAATTTTGACTGATTTTCACTTTTGGAATGTGCTCAATCTTGTACCAGTCTTCTCCTTGTCCCGGTTTGCAACGCTTCTCCAATATTGCACAGCCCAAAATGTTCAAGGACTGGAGGTTCATTCTCTCCATACACTCAGGCAGTGAGGCAAGATTATCACACTGTACTATGTTCAGTTCCTTGAGAAACGTAAGTTCGCCTAACCACTCAGGCAATAAAGTCAAACTTGAGAATCTACATACAGAAAGAGATTGCAGATTGTGGACATGCCGTAAAGCCTCAGGCAGTTGCCAGAAACCCAACTCCTCAGGGTGAATAACAGTATCTTCTCTAGAGTGGAACAATGGCAGACCATCAAGGTGAACGCGGTGAAGGGAATTCAGGTGTTTAATCTCTTGTGGAAAAGAAACCAACTTTGGACACCCAAAAATTTCAAGTTCCTCCAGAGAAGCTAGGTGCCGAAATCCTTCAGACAGATATTTCAATCTATCAGAGCATCTGACTGACAATTTACGGACAGAGGTGAGGCCTTGCAATCCCTGCTCGGGTAGAGACTCTAGTTGGTGGCAGTAACCAATATCCAGGGACTTCAATGCAGTGAGGCTTGCCAGGTTGTTTGGTAGTACTTCCAGCTTTGAGAAATCCATAATCGTCAATATTTCAAGATCGGTGAGGTTCGTTAGCACCTCTTCAGGGAAAGAAGTTAGTTCCTTGTTGTTAGCAATTTCTAAGCAGGTTAGACCGCAAAGATTAGAGATAGAGGCTAGAGTCATGTTTGAGCATTTCATAATTCTCAAATTTCTGAGTGTTACAAGGCATGGAAATGTCAGCAAAGGGCAGTTTTCAATCCACATTTCGTGAAGACTCGGAAATTGTTCTTCTCCTTCTTCGATTGAAACTCCTTTTAAATTTGGGAGCTTGCACATCTCAAGTGATTCCAAGGACGGGAACTTTCTTAATTGGGATACTCCGCTTTCAACGTCATTGTCAATGTACTCTACATGAATTCCCCTCAGCGAAAGATATTTCAAACAAGGAAGCTGAGCTAGTTGAGAGAGATGCAAGCAGTATTTACAATCATGAAGATAAAGGGTAATGATTGTTCTCAAAACTGAAGCCCTCATCCAACTTGCCAAGCATGTACTTTTGAAACCGGATACCTTCAAATGCTTAAGGTCGGAATGAGGTTCTAGTGCTTCAAGAACCTGCAGATCAACATCCTTTGATGACTCACACCGAACGGAATGGTTCCAGTACAAAGCTAAACTGTGGAGGTTTCGCTTTGAAATTAGAGCTTCTTTCGCCCCCATATGATTTTCAACCCTCTCAAGGTGCTCAATAACTAGTTCTCCTTGAAGATTCAAGTCTCGCAATTCACTAAGCTTGGAACATCTTTTTTTCCCTACGACAAACTTGTTTAACGTCTTGAGGTGTGTCAATTGTGCTATATTAGGAGGCATGTGACTCAATGGACAGCCTCTTAGCCGAAGATGTCGAAGATTTCTCAGATAATTCAGATGTTTCGGTAAAACACGAAGTAAGCAACAATCTTCTACACTTAGCATCTGCAGATTCTGAAGAGAACATATACTCTGAGGAAGACTCTCAACACATGTACTGAAAAGGTCCAAATACCTTAAATGTATTAGATTTCCAATTGCAGATGGCAATTCCTTTAACTGAACTGAGCAAAAAATCAACACCCTTAAAGAACCATACATTGCGATTGTCGAAGGGTTGTATGGCATAGTACTTTTAGGAAAAGCAAGAAATGACTTATCTTCGGCATGTATTGTTGCATGTCGAATTCTGCTTGTCGATATCTTTTCCCCTCCTTCAAGTTTTGTTGCATGAATTCCATCATCCATTATAGATTGGGCCAGGTCATGAACAAGATCATGTATCTTAAACAACATCTTCCCATCTGAAGTTTGTTGCACTTCTTGGAACAAAGATCTCCAGTATAATTCATTCCATACTTCATTACCTTTATCCTCAGGTTCCAAGTTTCCCTCCGATGAGATAAATCCATTGGCCATCCAGAAATAAATTAGCTCTTCTTTGTCTATTTTGGAGCCCTTCTCAAATATCGCGCAATAAGCAAAACAGTGTCTCAAATCTTGAGGAAGGTGAAAATAGCTCAACCTTAGAGCAGGCAAGATTGAGCTTTCGTCTTGTGGCAAATTCCAAAAATCACTATCTCTGACAAACAACCATTCTTTTTCATCGTTCTTAAAGCGCAAAAGACTTCCTAGAGCTTTAGCAGCCAGAGGAACCCCACAACATCTTCTTACAATCTCTTTTCCAATATCCACAAGTTTGGAGCTTTCTTTTCTGTCGAGACCAAATGCACGTTGCTTGAACAACAACCAACAGTCATACTCCGACAAGCAGGATAAACGATGTGGCTGTACCGTTCCCATAATTGAAGCAACCTTTTCTAGACGAGTAGTGGTAATAACTGAAGTACCTCTCGAACCAATTGTTAGTAAGGCTTTTAATTTATCCCATTTCTCCTGATCTTCATTCCAAACATCATCCAAAATGAGTAAATATCGTTTCCCTCTCAACAAGTTTATGAGCTGACTTTGTAACGAAGCTAACTCGGAAGCATTTATATCTTTCCCAACTATGGCTTCTAGGATTGCTCTTATCAACCTCTTCTCGTCAAAATTATGTGACACGCAAACCCAAATTTTCAAATCGAAATGTTCATGTACCAACACATCATTGTAAATTAATTGAGCAAGAGTAGTCTTTCCAAGACCTCCCATTCCAACTATAGGGAGAACCAAAAGCTCTTGAAAATCATCCACATGCTTCGTTAAGATTTCGACAATCTTCCTTTTGTCATTGTCCCTTCCGTAGACTTCTGCTGAAGTTAAAACAAAGCCAGTTTCACGTACTTCGTCTGTCGTGGATAATCGTTTCTTCGAAGTCACTTCAGACAAATGAAATTTAAGACGTTCCTCGGCAATTCCATCTAGTTTCCTGATGGCATCTTTAACCTTTTTCCCTATCTGTCGACGAAACAAAAGATTCTCCAAGGTAAATCCAGATGGCATTGAAATGCATCCAATTCTTCGGGATTTTTCCTGCAACCTGATCGCTTTCGCTGCACATTCATCCAAGACATCATCAACTTCATAAGTAGCACAATTTAGCTTCTGCAACCAATTTCTTATTGCCTTTTCTTTCAGTTGTTCCTGGTCTGCATCCTGAAGGACAGCCTTGATTGTCGATAGCAAGCTTGAAAGTTTTCTTAATTCTTCATCGACGCCATAAAACAATCCAAGTTCCTTTTGAATAAAAGAGCTAAGGTTTTGTAACAAAACTTCAACGAAAGCTTCAGCCATTTTGCCTAGCAAATCAAACCAAGGAAAATTTTGAGTAGTTCAAATATCAGTAGGAGAGCTTTCAGAATTGTTCAATTAAACGTACATTGCTCGAATTTTTCAAAAATACTTCCACGTGCGTGTAGGATCCTCCAAAGTAGTGCATTTTAGGACGATCCGACACGAGTGCAACAACAGCTTTGAAGAGTCCAAGCAACATAGTATTAAACATATAGTTTCACACTCTAGCTATCAGTTGTTCCCTTTCTTTTAACCAGAACTATCACCATCTACCCTTTTTTCCAACCAAAACTATCCTCATCTGCCCCTTTTCTTATCTGAACTATCACCGTCTATGTATTAAAACATAGTTCGTTGAGTAGGCGGTGATAGTTCAGGAAGAAAAAGGGAACAATTGATAGTCAGACAACTTTGAGTTGTGTTTTAATCCATAGAACACATCGAAAATATCTTTTTTTTTGCGAGTTTCACACCTCAACTATTAGTTGTTCCCTTTCCTTGAACTATAACCATTTATCAGACAAATAAAGGGAACAACTAATAGTTGAGGTGTGAACTCGCAAAAATATGATACTTTCAATGTGTTTTTTATCATTAATCGAAATATATTCTGTAATTCAAATGATTTCTTAATGAAAAACATTTTTATAGAGCAAACCCTAATTTTGGTTCTCTTCCATTGTTTCCCTGACAAAACAAGTTCAATTTTGATATTAACACAAGAAATTTTGATGGCAGCTTGCACGTACCTTGATTAATCTACCACACAACCTACTATAACTCACAAGCACAGTACTTGATGAGCTCACAACAGAGTAGTTTTAGATATTAACACAATTTTTAATAAGAAAACAGAATTGGTAAAGGTAAAGAAAAGTATCTATTAGGCCATAAAAATTATTCACTATTGTTTTTATCACCTGACAAGACAAGAGGAGTTGCTCGTGTGGTAAAAAAACACTTTTTCACCTAAATTTCATAAACTAAAAACTAAAATTTCAACATTTGTGAATTCTAAAAAGTACATTTTCGTTTCAATTTATTTTTCATGTTTTAATGTGACACGGAGTTAACAAAGTAAAGAAAATCTTGTGGTCTATGTCAAATGTACTAAACTATCTTTTAATCTTGTATTTTCGTAATTAAATATAAACAGTTGCTAAAAAGGGATAGGGCCTTCTTTTCAAAACAAACTAAAAAGAAAATAAACAAATTGAAACGAAGAAAATAATTTTCTTGAACTTACTAGAGAAATTCTTGAATCTATTTCTTATGCTTCAGATGTAGCAGCAAATACATTAGGTTCTGGAATTGAAGTTCACAAAGTGAAGGAGGACTTTTCAGCAAGTATTAGGGTAAAAAGAGACTCCACCTAATAATAAATTATGATTTATTTGCTTAAAGGTCAAATAAAATAGTACTATTTTGGATAATTTGGATCTTCTGCCAAGTATTCTATGATATTTTCTACATAATTCGGAATATGGTTTGATTAGTCAATTTTTGAGTAAGACATAAAGGTACCTACTAGTTAGGATATTTAATAATGTGATTTAACTCAATTTCAGTTGATATTTACGTTTTTTAATTATGGATGTGTACAATTAAATATTTAAATTTGTGCAGTACTCGAATTCATGAACGATTTGGTGTTTCAGAAACTAAATTTGAAGACATTTAATCCACCATATAAACCTTATGTATATAATCTCAGAGCGTTCATTAGTTATATATATATATAAGTAGAAAAGTTTAGGAAAAGCTACGTGGTTATACAAACATTCCTATCATATATATTATTCTCCCAATAATTTGAAAAAGTACATATTGGCTCACTAATAATAATTTTATACCAAATTTTAAGTTATATACACCTAGATACATGTATATTTTGCTATCAAATACATTTTGAAATACAAATTCATAAGGAGAGATGTGAGCGAGAAAGAAGGGAGGCGAGCAAAAGAGTTTGTGTATCAAAAATACATGTGAATCACATAGATACATGTATTTGAGATATCAAATGCATTTCTGATACATTATATGAAATACGTATACAAAGGGAAAGAGGCGAGAGAAAGTCAGATACATATTATTCCAGTCGGATATTGTGTATCTGAAATAAATTATACATAATTTTGACTTCTTGTATCCGAGATATATGTATCTGGATGCGCCAGATACATGCATTCGATGTCCGAATTCTAATAAAAGTTTTATATTAAAAACTTGTGTGACGAAAAGTAATTTACTCATAAACTAGTGGGATTTGTGTTGTTTATCTAACGTTTATCTCATAAACTGTTAAATCTATGAGGTGGAGATAGTATAGAGGGGTGGGGTTAAGGTAGTGGTATTGGAAGGTGAAGAGGAGACAATTGACGAAGAATGTTGTTTATGAAATTTATTTTGATATGTATTACTTGAGTCGAGTATTTTTTAGGAAAACAATATTTGTTTTCATAGAATAAGAATATGATCGGTATATACTTTACCTTTTTCACGCCCCAAATTACATTGTATATGCTATTGTAATTATATTGCCTCTGTTTGATAGGGCTCCATTTCATGGTATGCAAATTAATTGTCTTTTTTTCTTTTGACACTATTAGCTAAATTGAGAATACATCTTATGCATATATTTAACTAGTATCTGAACACGTTCGTTGCACGTGTATCTCATATTATATGTTTGCATAATATATATCTATAATGATAAATTTATGTGTACATTTAAAAAAAAAACATTTATATATAAGTTAAGAAATCAAAACAGATACCCTCAAATTTCAAACTATAAGCATATTAAAAATATGTATTTCTCATGAGTTTAATCAATCATACATTGCAATAATCCCTGCAATTCATTGAGAAACTTTCAATATATACATCAACCATGTATAAAGAAAACTTGAAATGCATAACAACAATTATATTTATATTTCAATACACTATAAAGTCAATTTTCCTCTCTGCATTATACTATGGATTCCGCACAACAAATTCTATTTTTTTTAAAAAGACAAAATTAGGAAAAATAATATCAACAAATTGAAATTAAAAATGTAAAATTGAAGTAAGAGGAAGTGAAGAACGATAAGTAGAAAATGTTCACCTCAACATGAATAAGGAAACGTGTTGAGTAAAAGAAGAGTAAAGTAAAAGTGTGAGCTGATATATAGAGGAAATTGACAAATATAACCGTCTGTATTGAATAATGGAAAGACAACTCTTCAATTTCTTAACTTCTCCAAAAAAAAATTATAACTATGAGCTCAAGATAATATAAATTTATTAATTTAATAAATGACGTAAATAAATAACTTACATTGTACGTATGTGTAGTTAATGGGATAGTAAAGACTCTTCCTAGAACTATTTTTATTTCTTTAAAGTAATTTTCAACTTATAATATTAGAATCATAGAAAGCCATAAGCTACTGTAAGTTTTTTTAGTAATTATTTTATTAAATTATATACCTATTATTTATTTTTAATTATTTATTATCATTCCGGAAATGTATACACTAATTTTGGAAATCTTATAAAACGAAAGAAATTAATATTTCTTATCATTATTTTAGCTATTATTAGTATTTAATATGACAACATTTAAAAAGGATTACGACAGGAAATGACTTTTCATGATAGTCATTATTGTTTGAGTCCCACGTTTTTTTAATTTTTTTTTATATATATAATAAAGAAGACTATTCTTTGAAGGATATGTAATTCAATATTTATTACATTTGAGGAGGATTATTTTACTATTTAGTATTTAATTATACTTTAGAACATTTTGTTTTAATAAATTAATGTAGCCAAGAATTTGAAATTTTTTGACGTTTTGTTTATCTAAACATGTAGAATTTTGTTTTTGAATAAGAAACATGTAACTAAGCCTTGAGTGAATTGTAATTTTATTATTTACTATTTAATTTATTAAATAATTATAACATTTTGATTTAATGGAGGGGCAAAATGGTAATCCAACTTTGAAGATTGGAGCTTCCCACTTTTAGTAATATATGATATGATATGATGATTAATTACACTTTTGTCAAAGAAGTAGGTCCTAGATGAAAACTAAATTCTAAAAGGACTATGCAATGTTTTTAAAATAGATATAGTAATATATCATGTAAATGAAGACCCACATTTTACTTTTGCTACATAATCAAATCTCTTTATATTGAGATCATACCGAATTTAATTTGTTATTATAGTAAAATATTATTATAGAAATATATACTAAATATAACATGACAGAAATGATCTATTTCAAATAAATATTAACCGTTGTAATAAAATATTATTCTAAAAATAATTGTTACAAAGTATTAAAATTCGAACCTCATCACTAGAATGAAGATTTGGACAACTCGCTAACTGAGCTACATGAGCCGCTATAATCTATTGAGCTCAGCTCACCAGAGTTAACCTTATTTAGATAAGTAAATTATTTTAGTATATAATAAGAAAATAATATTAAATTGATCTTATTAAAAATGAAGAACATTTAGTGAAGAGATGAGTGATTTCTTAAGAAGTGTGCTTAAATTAAAACAATGTCATCATTATCAATAAATATGAAATTTGGATTTTTAATATTATAAATTGAGATTTACAATTCAATCACATTTCATTCGACTATTAAGTTTAAATTGTAAGGATCTTGAAGGTCATTTTCAGAATTTTCTGAAAAATTATCATTTTACCTATTCTGATAGTTGTCTCGAGTCATGTTTGATCAACTCTTGAGGTTAGATTGGAAACCAGATCGAAAAGTTGAGATTTTTTTGAAAGTATTGGAGTTTTGAAAGCTTTTAAGTTGAAATGGTTGACTTTAGTCAACATTTAGAGTTGAGTCTCATAATGAAATTTCGTCAGTTGCATCAACTCCGGAACGTGATTTTTGGTCTAGATGTACTGTTGGTTTGGGTCTCAAGGCTTTTGGTTTGAATTTGGGCCATTAGACAAGATACGGGAAAAGTTAAGGCTAAAGTTTGACTTAAGTCAATGTTTGAGGTTAGAAAGGTCATTTTCGAGTTTTGATGATTTCACTAGGTCTGATTGGTGATATTTGGTCTAATTAAAGGTTTAGTTCAGTTCCTGAAGCTTTTGGATGAATTTCATGTCCTTATTTAGAAATTTGGAGATTCTAAGTTAATGTTCACTTTAGTCAACATTGGGTTAAGGTGACCTTGTTTGGGAATTTTGATGATTTCATTGAGTCCAAATATCACTTTCAAGAAAGTAGCATATTTGATTTGTGTTCGGGAGGTTCTGGATGATTTTTGGGTGAGTTTCTAAGCATTTTAGGTGTTATGGCGTTGTTTTAGCAATTTGTGTCAACTAAAAGGTTCATTCTTAGTTTTAAAGATCGAAAAATTATTCTGAAACTTCTGAAAGTTTGATCATGAATTATAGGATTGATCTTCGAATGTTGGTGCATTTTCGCTAAAATGATATTGGACTTTTATCGCGATATATGAAATAATTATTTACCGAGCAGAAATAATATAATTTGACTGGACAAACGAACACACAATTGAGTTTTAGTTGAACATGCAAGTTCATATCATTATTTAAGATATTTATGGAAAATAATTAGGTCATTTCACTATCGTATGAGGAAGTTACTCTTTTAGTGAAATATTAAGTTATTGGTTTCAGTTGTAAATAGTGTTGTTCATGCATTTAAAATTTCAGATCATGTTCATTTAGTATTTTGAGCATATTGAGAGTTCTAGAGCTCAGAATTGAATGATTCTTGCGATATTCTTCTAGATTTAATTATAAGGGTTAGTATCCAATCCTCATTTAGACGTTCTATCATGATTTCTTCGTTTGATTTTCTTTCCTTATTT